ATCTTGACCTCCCATTAAGTTCTAAGATTTCTCTCTTGTAGGCTTCATGATCCTCACTCTTGCCTCCTTTTATTTATCCCCTCATTCTCTCCCTCTCTTCCTCTTTCCTCTGTCCTTTTCCAGCTCTCTTCACAGTCTTCTTTTATACAGAGAGGTTTAGCAATGATCTTGTGTGTCCTGTGGTCCTCCTCCTGTGTCCTAAGGTCTCAGTCTCCAACCTAAGTGGCTCATCATTGACATTTTTCTGAATAGACAGTTCCTTCCTAAGAGGAATTCAGGCACCTGCTGTTGCAACAATACATTTTCCACTTTATTAAAATTGCATTTGTAAAGTTTATAGAATATATAATAAACCACATTAAAGACTCCCAATTCTCTGTTAAACTTTTACTCATTTCAGGTGCATTTAAAGTCACTGTCTTATATATAAGAGATGTTTCACCTGGCCGGGCATGGCTTAGCGGTTGAGCGTCGACCTAGGATCCAGGAGATTGGGTTTGATTCCTGGTCAGGGCACATGCCCCGGTTGCGGGCTAGGCAGCCGATCAATGACTCTCTCATCATTGATGTTTCTCTCTCTCTCTCCCTCTCCTTTCCTCTCTCTGAAATCAATAAAGATATATTAAAAAACACACACAAAAGAAATGTTTCAACTTTTGACCCATAATAGAGGCAGATTTGTTCCTAGAATAATTTACAGTTTATTTCCTTCTTTTCAGCCTTCTCCAAGCCCCAGCTTTCTGAGTTCCATTCCCTGTCTTGTGAACATTATGCTGCTCTTCTTGCTTCTTTCCTGCTTTGAAAATAATCCTAGATGTCGCTGCAGGAAATCTAGGCTGAAGTCACTCTTGCAACCTTGGGAACAACTTAACCTCTCCAAGCCACCCATACCTTGTTTGTAGTATGGTGACAACTGTATTTTGTCACCTACCTACCTTACAGATTGGGGTGAGAATCAAACAAATACATGAGGGATGTCAAGGTTTCTATTAAGTGTAAAGCCTGAATCAGGTGTGAATATAATTTTCATTGCTAAAATAACATCTTGTTTTAGTTAAAATAATTAAACAGCCCTAGCCAGTTTGGCTCAGTGGTTAGAGAGCAGGCCTGTGGACATAAGGGTCCTGGGTTCGATTCCAGCCAAGGGCAAGTACCTCATTTGCACACTAGATCCCTGGCCCTTGTCAGGATATGTGCAGTCAACCCCCCCCCACACACACACACTCTCTGAAAAGCAAAGGAAAAAAATATCCTTGGGTGAGGATTTTTTAAAAAATTAAACAGTTTGTTAACAAATTAAAAGTTGCATTAACATATAAATTTTTAAAGAATTTGGAGGTAAAACCACACTTTTGTATTTGGTTATTAGAATTATGTGGGCTCCTCTCAGCAGTGGCCCAGACAGAGGAGTCCCTAGGCTGAAGTACCGTTCCCTGTGCAGTCACAGCTTGTTTTGGGCTGGGCCTCTCCTGTGGGGGACTGGGGCAGGTCTATCAATTAGCTGGCTCCTCCTTTTAATTTGATTATTCAAATTTCTGGCAGGTATAGCAATTAGCTTTTGCCATGTAAAATTAATGATAAAATGTCCACAAATCCCCAGTGTCATTCTACAAGAAAACATTTATTTAGTTTACATGTGCGTGGGGTTAATAGTGGGTTGAACAGTCTAGCCTGAGCTCAGCTGAGGGGTCTCTCATTCTGTTCCTGGGACCAGCTGGGTAGCCAAACACATTCTTCAAGGCCATGGTAGCAGTGCAAGACAGCAAGCAGACATGCAGACTTGGAACCAGCACACCACTATTTCTGCCCCATTTTATTGACCCAAACAAGTCACATGGTGGAACTCAACGTCAAGAAGTGGGGAAATATACAGCTGAGTCTTATTATTTGTGGTAGTTATGATCTATAAAGTCATTATGTACAGTGAATTAGTAAAGACTGGACCATTGTTCCCAGGGGAACTATAGGTTAGGTTTCTGTGAGCCTCTGGTCACATTTTCATCGACACACAACTTTGTTTTATGTGTGTTTCTGTTTAAAGACACTTTGCTTAATATATGTTATTGACTCACTAACACTGAGTTCACAACCAACACCACCACAACATGCCTGAAGGAACTTATGTAACACATGTATTTCCTCTATGAAGCACATCACAGCCTTCTTGGACTTAGGAACACTAGAGCACATCAGCACAATGCTTGGGCCATACATATACACAGTGAAATCACCAACGAAAAGCACAAAAATGCAAAAAATATGGCACTAAATAGCCTGCAAAAAAGAACACTTGTTTCCACTATGAGACTTTAGCTGGGAACTTGAGTTCTTTGCCACTTCTCTGCCCATCTCTGCAAATGACCCTGAAAGTAACAAGAGTATTGATTGGGGGTGGGGAGGTGGGAGGGCGGTGTTGAATTGTTAACAAATAAATGCTACCAAGTAGGCAAATTCAAAAAGGAGGATTCATGAATAATGAGGATGAACACTACTTTGCCCCTTAGTGGAAAAAAAAGTTATATGGCAAAGGGTGTGGATAAAGGGAGGGTTAAAAAATTGGGGTCAATAATGCAGAATCTTGGGCCCCATCTCAGACTTATTGAATCAAAATTTGCATTTCAGACTCCCTAGATGTTTGTATGCACATTCAGGTTTGAGAAGTACTGCCCTCAATATGATTGTAGGTACATCCATGCCAGAGGGAGACAGTTAAACCCTATAAATATTAGGGACCTACTACATAAATAAAGGGGTTTTTTTAAATTTATTTTTTCATCCTTACCCAAGGGACATGCTTAGAGAGAGGAAGAGAGACAGACACACACAGAGAGAGAGCAAGATCAATGTGGGAGAGAAACATCAATTGGTCTCCTTCCATATGTGCCCTGGCTGGGGATTGAACTCGAAACCCAGGTATGTGCCCTAACCAGTACTCAAACCTGCAACCTTTTGGTGTACAGGGTGATGCTCAACCAACTGAGCCACTCTGGCCAAGCTAATATTAAGTTTTTATGGGTCCAAAAGTCTGGGCATGCTGGGACAGCCTCTCTAAGGTGAAGAAGAAGTTATTGCATGTTACATTTCCCATTTATTGGGAAGAGGCACTTGGTGGGACTTTTTGGCTTTTGGAGGCAGCATATATCACATATGGGAATACAGATGCAGCAGTTTTATTGGGTAACATGGACAGCTGCCAGTTTAAGTGGGTCCCTGAACAAGAGAATACTCTGCAGCAAGTCTAAGCTGAAATGCAAGCTGCCTTGTTATTTGGTCCTATGTCTCAGCAGATTCAGTGGTGCTCAAGATACTCATGGTAGATAAGGGTGCTGTATGGAGTCTTAAGTAAGCCCTGATAGGAGAGTCATGGTGCAGAAACTCAGGGTTCTGGAGCAAGTCCATTCCTCTGACAGCAAGTCACTTGGAAAATTGTCCCTGGCATGCCACTGAGAGCCTAGCTATGCACCTCAAGTATTATGCAACTACTGCTTCCCATAGTGTGCTGGATATTTCAGATCTACCAAACCACAGTGCACTATCAGACAGACAAGGAAAAAGAGGAGTCATGGGTTGGAAATTCCTTGGAGGTCAAAGAACAGTGACCAGAAAAAACATGAGTGGGAGAGTTGGAAGTTCCCCAAGAAAGGCAAACTCAGCATAATAAAATAATCTTTTTCTCTGTTTCTCTCCCTGAATGCCCTCTATTGGGTGCAGAATAGTAACATGAGGCATTCTATCCCAGGCCAAATCTCTGGAGTTTCCATTGACAATTTCTTCTCATCAAAGGGATACTCCCTTAAAACAGTATGTTTTTAATCTGTGCCTGCCTCTCCATCTCTATGACTACTGCCTTAATTAAATCTTTCATCATTTCACTTGCAAGTTTTCTACATTGACAAATGGTGATTCTGCGTACCAGATTATTCCATTCACTCCCCAAATATCTGTTGGGCATCTATTATGTATCAGGCACCGGTGTAGTTTTTGGGGGAACCATATGAAGAATTACAAAATATGCTGCTGCAGGCCTCATGGAATTTAAAGTCTGGTAGAAGAGAGGTATGGAAATCCTGCTTAAAATCCTTCAGTGAGTCCCTGCTGTTTTCAAGATGAAGCCAAGACATCTTGACGGGCTTTTCCCTACTTATCCTCCAGCATCACCTCTTATCACTGTCCTTCAATTTTGCAGGCTCTGCAACTGCAATGCATACTTTCCCTTCTTCAGAGCTCCTCTTTTAAAAGGGTTCACTCCAGCTGTCCACCTTCTCCAGGAAGCCTTCCAGACACTCCCTTCCCCCGTTAGCTGCACGTCTCTGTAGTTCCAGCACACCTCATGCTACCACTACCACAAATGTGTCACACTTCATTGTGATTCATTGTTCTTTTGTCCACCTCTTTATCTTCTACCTTGAGCTTAGCTTTGTGTAACCAACACTTAGTACAGCGTCTGATTCACAGCAGGGACTTGACATTTTTTATCAAACATGCCCTCCACTCTGCAATAGCAGACAAGGTCCACACATCACTTCTGCACCTTGACAAAGGAACTTCTGTGGCATAACTCCCTGGCGTCCTCCGGCCTTGGGGCTTCCAGGTGGGCAGCTAACCTGTCCCTACCTCTCATACCAGGACTCAGTCGTGCGCCCCCTAGCGCCTCCGGCTGACACAGCGGGAATGGGAGGGGCGCCCTCGAGCACGCGGTCCCAGACCTGCGTACGGCGCATGCGTAGCACTGGAGAGTTTGGCTCAGTCCAAGAGTGAGGGGAGCGGGCTGAAGGTTCAGATACTTTTTCCTTTTGCAGTAGGGAGCTGGCTCATATTATTTTCCTCTCTGATTGTGCCTTAACTTAAAATTTAAGACTCGCTGTGTGGCCTTATAGGGACCGAAGAGGGGGCTAGAGTGTTGTCAAGCCCTTCTTAGTCCTTCAGCACCCCTCCCGGAGGGCGGCGGGTTGGACGGCCCCAGGTCACGGCGCGCGGGGGCGGAAGCGGCTGGGGCTGCGACCGCGACGGCTGTCAGAGCGGCACAGCGGCCGGCGGGGCTGCCATGGAGCGTCAGCGCTGGCTGCCGCTGGAGGCCAATCCGGAGGTGAGCGCGGCTCTGATTTCGGCCTGGGGACGCAGGCGGGGGCGAAGGGAGCCGGGCTGCCGCGGCTGGTCCGGAGCAGTTTGTCTCTAAATCGTGTTCTCTGTTTCGTTTCCAGGTCACCAACCAGGTGAGTGAGGCGTCTTGTCGCTCGGACCCTGGAGTCCTCCCTGGCCGTCTACACGTACCGCTCTCCCTAGGAGTCTGGCATTTAATCCCGTGAGGGCCCCTCTGGCGGGTGTGCCCGTTTTGCGGCCGTGCGGCTCCCACCTGGCTCCCGGAGATGCTCCCAGCCGCCGCAGCTCCTCCTGGCTCCCCGTCCCCCGTCATCGCGTCTCCTGCGTCTCGGGGTTGGAGGGATGTTCGCCCTGTGTCCCTAGTGCCCGTTCCCTCTTAGTTTTGCTTGCACCCTGCCCGTGCCGATGCCATCGTTTTCCAGCCCCAGTCCCTTGTGGGTGACTAATTTGCCTCCACTACCTGACTCCACGCTTTGTAAACTCGCCCACCCAGTCCTTGTAATTTCATCCACCGCCTGCACTATGAAATCACCTTTCAATCATCTCTTGCCCCATTAAGTCACTTCTCTTCCCCGTCACGCCCCTTTTCTCTTCCAGTTTCTTAAAACTGGAATTTAGTTGCTTTTATAGCGTGGGAAGCTCAGTATAATAGTTCCCACACTACTCTTTGCCACATACAACCCTTCAAGTTCCTCTGTGTTTGGAGGTTCAGTTTTGGGGAGGGAAGAGGGAACATCCCCCAGCCAGCCACCCGATTAAAAGAACAATGAGTGCTACCAGGTGTAAACTTTTGATTTGCTCCGGTATATTTTGTCTTACATTCTCAGCAGGTGGTTTACTTTTTACTGCCTTATAGTTATTATATGATAAACTTTACCCCCATAATCTTCCTTCTCATCACTAAGGAATAACATTTTTTTTAATGCACTTAATTAGCTTTTGGTTTTCAATGCTTGTAGAAAATTCCTTATATATGGAAAGTAGATGGACATATTTGAATGTTGGCAACAAACCCTTTGTCTTCTTATTCAGGTTTATTATATACTTTTGAAATGACTATTTTCCCCCAACTCTTCTCTGTTTAGTATTCTAGAAAAGGCTTAAAACCCAGCATATGTCCTTTATATTGTTCTTATGGTGATGTTCCCTATCTATGTTAATTTCCTTTTGTTTCACCCCCTTTAAAATTTGTTGTTCATTTTTTCCCTAACACATTTTGACCACTTTGTAAAGTGGGAGTAATCTTTAGGCAGAAGTCAGTATTTGTAACTTCTGAATTTATGCCATAGGAAAGAAGCATATTTCTCTTAGACTTAGCCCAAGACTATTTTTCACTCTTGTGAAAAATCAGTTACCATATATCTGGAGAGCGTTTGGTTCCGTTGAATTATATGTCTGTTCTCTCAACAGTACCACACTGTTTTGATTACTGTAGTTGTATAGTAAGTCTTATTTTTCAAAATTGTTTAGGCTATTTTAGTTACTTTGCCTTTCTGTAAAAGTTTTACAGTCAGCTTGACAATTTCCACAAAAAGTCCTATTGTGATTTTGATAGTGAATGTGTGTCCAAATCTATTAGTACATTCGGGGGGAAATTAGCATCTTAACAATATTGAGTCTTGCAATTCATGAAGATGGTACATCTCATCATCTGTTTGATTTGTTTCAACAGTGTTTTGTAGTTTCTGCATGTAGACCTTGCACATATTTTGTTAAGATTGATACCCAAGTACTTAGTGATTTTTGGTGCTGTTGTAAAATATACTGTTTTAAAGTTTTAATTTCTAATTGTCCTTTGCTATATGTAGAAATACTGTTTTTTTAATTAAAAAACTATTTCAGATAAAATTAATATTTTCAAAATTAAGGATAAAACAAACACACTTCCTTGTGTCCATTATTTTAGATAATTGTGATTTCCACGAATAGAGTTACTGAGTATCATTTGACTATTTGCCTGTGTGCTTTTTGGAAGCTTCTGTAGCCTTTTCTTGATAGGAATTCCAGGTTTTCTGAATTCTTCTCTTTCCTACAGGTATTCCATTTTGCATTCTTCATAAAAGGCAGGGCCATTATAGTAAGCCGTTGGACATTCTCTCAATGCAGAATTTACTTTCCGGCATTTTGCTGCCATAAAGATTCCAGATTCTTTGCAACATTTGGTAAAATCTTGAACTTGTTCAGAACATCTCTCTCCGGCCTTTTCTCATTATTTTAGGGGTCAAAACATCTTTTTTAATATGTCTGCAATGCTTCTCTGTCAAGTGGAGCTCCATCTCAGCAATAGAGCTAGAGATATGTACTGGTTTTTATATGTTGACTTTGTGTCCTACTGCCTTGCTAAATTCACTTAAAAAAATGTTTTTATTGATACAGAGAGAAGAAGAAAGAGGGAGAGAGAGATAGAAACATAAATGATGAGAGAGTCATTGATCCACTGCCTCCTGCACACTCGCTGTTGGGGATCAAGCCCGCAACTGGGGCATGTGCCCTGACTGGGAATCGAACTGGTGACCTCTTGGTTCATAGGTGGGCGCTCAGCCACTGAGGCACGCCAGCCAGGCTGAGCTCAGTTTTTGAATGCCAAACCCATTTCCACTTTAGAGTCTGCACTTCTCACTTTTTGCTTGAATTGTTCTCATCTGGGTTGTTTCATGGCTGGTTCTTTAAGTCTTTTCTGAACATGCCTAGACTCTCCAGCTGTGATGTCTTCCAAAACTTTATCATTCTTTATCACCGTTCTTTGAGCTTGCTTCTGTTTGTCATTGTCCTTCATAAAATAGGCCTCCCATAGCTGATACCATAATCCACTCTGAATAATTTGTGTTGAATACAGTGGATTACTGCAGTATTCTGAATAATACTTCTTTTTAAAATAAATACTCAATTATATTCAATATTATTTTATAACAGTTTCAGGTGTACTGCCTAGTGGTTAGACATTTATATAATTTACAAAGTGACCCCTCTGTAAAGTCTAGTACCCACTTGGCACCATACATAGTTACCACAATATTATTGACTATAGTTCCTATGCTCTACTTTATATCGCATGACTATTTTGTAACCACCAATTTGCACTTTTTAATCCCTTCACCTTTTTCACCCAGTCCCCCAATGTCCCTCCCATCTGGCAACCATTAGTTTGTCCTCTGTATCTATGAGTCTGTTCTGTTTTGTTTATTTTGTTCTTCAGATTCCACATATATGTAAAATCATATGGTACTTGTCTTTTTCTGATTGATTTATTTCACTTTACATAATATCCTTTAGGTCCATCCATATTGTTACAAATGGTAAGATTTCATTCTTTTTTATGGCCAAGTAATATTTCCTTGTATATATGTACCACATCTTCATCCAATCATCTGTTGTTGGGCACATAGGTTGCTTCCAAATCTTGGCTATTGTAAATAACACTGCAATGAACATAGGAGTGCATATATTCTTTTGAATTAGCATTTCGAGTTTCTTCAGATGTATTTCCAGAAGTGGAATCTCTGGTTCATAGGCAATTCCATTTTTAATTTTTTGAGGTAACTCCATACCACTTTCCAATCTGTATTCTACCAACAGTGTACAAGGGTTTCTTTTTCTCCACATCCTCGCTAACACTTGTTTTTTGTTGATAGCCATTCTAATAGATGTGAGGTAGCACCTCTTTGTGATTTTAATTTGCATTTCTCTGATGATTAGTGACGTTGAGCATCTTGTCATATGTCTGTTGGCCATCTCTGTGTCCTCATTGGAGAAATGCCTATTCAGGTTCTCTGACTATTTTTTAATTTGATTGTTTTTTTGGTGTTAAGTTATATGTGTTCTTCATAAATTTTGGATATTAATCTCTTATCAGATGTATCATTGGCGAATATCTTCTTCCATTCAGTAGGTTGTTTTTTTGTTTTGTTGATGGCTTCCTTTGTGGTGCAAAAACTTCTTAGTTTGATGTAGTCCCATTTGTTTATTTTTTCTTTTGTTTCCCTTGCCTGAGGAGATATATCCAAAAGAAATATTATTAAAAGCAATGTCAGAGAGTTTACCACTTGTGTTTCCCTCTAGGAGTTTTATGGCGTTGGGTCTTATATTTAAGTTTGATCCATTTTGAGTTTATTCTTGTACATGGTGTAAAAAGGTGGTCTAGTTTCATTTTTTTGCATGTATCTGTTGTTTTCCTAACACCGTTTATTGAAGAGACTGTCTTTGCCTGATTGTATATTCTTGCCGCCTTTGTCATAGATTAATTGACCATATAGGCATGGGTTTATTTCTGGGCTCACTATTATGTTCCAGTGATCAATGTGTCTATTTTTATGCCAGTACTGTTTTGATTACTATGGTGTTATAGTATAGTTTGATATCAGGTAGTGTGATACCTCCAAGTTCTTTTTTCTCAAGATTGCTCTATTTGGGGTCTTTTGTGATTCCATGTAAGTTTTAGAATTATTTATTCTAGTTCTGTAAAAGATGCTGTTTGATAAATGAATTCAGTAAAGTAGCAGATACAAAATTAAAATAATACTTCTTATAGCAGACTAGCATTGCATCACCTTTGTTGACAATTGTGTAGTCAGTCCATATTTGAGCCTCCAGAGAAGTAAACTCCTTTTTTTCTTAATTCCCACATAAAATGTTTTCAGTATGCCCCTATTCTGTACTTTAATTTCATTTTTTTTTACTACATCTCTATTAAAATTCATTTTGCTACGTTCCAGGTTTTAAGAACCATATTTTCTCATTTAACTATTAGTTATATGCCTAGTTTTACATCTAGCAATTACTACTAGTATACTTTTAATACCAGTAAAATCAAGCCATTACTAAATAAATATAATTGCTGGCATAACTCATATCATTAATAAGTTAGTAACAAAGGAAAATCTGTTGCTGCTCAGGATCTTAGGTCTTTAAAGACCAGAGAGCCCTGACTGGTGTGGCTCAGTTGGTTAAGTGTCATCCAGTGTCGTAGGTTTGATTCCTGGTTTGGGCACATGCCCAGGTTGTGGGTTTGGTCCCTGGTTAGGTGCATGTGGGAGGCTGCCTATCGATGTTTGTCTGTCACATCGATGTTTCTCTCTCTCTCCCCCTCTCCTGTCCTCTCTCTCTGAAATCAATAAAAACATTTTACAAAAAGGACCAGAGAAAGTGGCTTTAGAACAAATTTGAAAGGAAAGTGAATTTAATTTTTCTATTAAAAAAATATATATATAAAATCAGGTTTTTTGTTAATTTGTCACCTAAAGATTGAGGAACAATTTATTATAAACCAGGGGCCAAAAATCTGGAGGGAAGAGATGGTTATAGACTCTTTGAGAACTTGAAGAGTTCATTGTGGTTAAAATTAGAGAACCAGGTACAAAAAGATACTTCAATGAGAGATGGGGCTTGAAAAGTAAATAGGTACAAGAGCATCCAGAGTTTTGCATGTGGATTCTGGCAGCAAGACCTTGAAAAATCACCAAACCTCTCAGACTTGGTTGTCTTATTGGTGAAAGGATATAATAAAACCTACCTTAAAGGATATAACAAAACCTGCAATAAAGGTGAAGTGCATTAAAACTTTTTGAATGGTTTCTGATACATCATACTCTTAAAAATTATTACAAGTAATTTAAAATACTCTTTATGTGGTGGAGTATTTATCATTGGGCCATTGAATAAAAAGGATAAGTTGACCAAGGATCTTTTGGGGGCACCTATTCTGATTAGCAAAAATTTTAGAGGCATTATGAAATTTTAGTGAGCTAATCAGTCAGAACATTTTGTTATTCTATTATCCGGTATTTGGAAAAGCCAGAAGACTAGTATTAGACCTTATAAATGCCTTTATTCTGCTTCATGCAAACAGTATGCTAATTGTGTAGAGATAGCTTTGCAAATGCATATATAAGATACTTTTCTTTGTGAGTAATCTAGAGAAATTTTTTTTGGGTATAGTTTTCAGGCATTTGGGTTTCCTTCCAGTTTTGTGCATTTAAATAAAATATACATGTGTATCAGTTCTATAGATTTGTAACTTAGAAGCTACAAAATACCACTATTTTCAGATAAAAATACACATGTGTATTAAATGTGTATTTAAATACATGTGTATTTAAATAAAATACACATGTGTATCAGTTCTATAGATTTGTAACTTAGAAGCTATTGCAAAATACCACTTTTTTCAAATACTGAAAAATAAAAAGTGGAGTTCATACCACCCAAGCTAACTGCTATTAATATTTTAAATTATAAAGTGGGACACCTTTATGATTTAAAGAGGTAAAAGTTGAAGACTTCCCACTCTTTTTCCACTTCCCAGAGGTGTTTATTATTAGTAGCTGCTTTTATTCTTTTTATTCATCTGATGACTTCCTGTTTGAGTCTTACCCATAACAATTGGGAGTCAAAGGATGCAGCCATTATACTTAATAGATGTTAATTTAATTGAACTTTATATCAATCTGAACTTTATATCGATCTCATTTGATTGGTGATATGAATAACATGGTAAGGAAAACTATGACTCCAGTGATAGTTTTTGTATTTAATTTAATCTTCTGTTTAATCATTGATTATGTTCCCAGTTTAATACTAATCAGTCTCACTACAGTTGCTGCCTTTGGAGCTTGATACTTTTTATACTTGTTAGCTTTGGCTGACATGGAGTAACTTTACTGCTTACTTCACATTAATTTACCAGTTATGTCCAGACTGTTTTTTCACTAACATGTTTAACTGTTACTTTCACTTAGTAAGCACAGATGTGAAATTACGCTGCTAAGATACCATCTTGTTTATAACTTAGTTACAGTATGGTTTTTAGGGGTACATAAAATTAACATAGAAATTTAAATTCTCTTATCTGGGTTAGGGCTATCAGTCCTGTGCAGGTAATATTTGGAGCTGATTAAATTAGAATGCCTGATTTTAGATTAGTAGCCAAATATGTCTTTTCTACCTCTTTAACATGGCATAAATAACAAATATATTAAACTATTCATTATAAACATAGCTTAATGGACATATGCAGACATACAAATGGCTAGATTATCTATTAAAATAGAGATGTAATCTTTATTTCAGCTCAGTAAATATAACTTGAGTGTCTGTGGTTTGGCTAGGCAATGGGATTAAAAAGGTAAATAAAACACAGTTCCTTCCCTGGACTTTGCAGTGAATTTTAATCCTTTTTGTTTCTAAGTAGAATTGAATATTGAGAAGGGCATAGACTAAGAATTTTGGAGGAAGTGGAGAAGGGAGAGGGAACTAATTTTGGCGTGCTTTATTGAACTTTATTAAAATCTGGACTCATAAATAGGAATCATATGAAGAATAGGTATAATGTAGAAGAATCCATTGATTTCTGTGGCCCAGGCTGTTTCAGAACATGTGACTTGATGAACCTAAAAGATGTTGAGCACATTCTGCCAAGAGAAGTTTTAAAATTCAATATATTTCTTATTAAACATTACCTAGGACCTTATTTTTGACCAATCATGTTATCGTTAAGTATAATGCAAGGTCTTAAACAGGAAGGTTTTGTCTTATGGAACCTGTGTGTGAGATGAATAATATTGTTTATGTAACATGGCATGCTTTCCATTGGTTTAGCACAGTGATTTTTAACTGGTATGCTGCAAGAATTTTTAAAACATGCAATACCTGACTATTTAGTCAGGGACACTGACCTCTTTTCCTTTAGATTGTGAAATAAAAAAATGACAACAGCCAACACACAGTAGCTGTCCCGTGTGAATGCGCTGTCTTGAACCATAAGTATATAGGTCATAAAACAGAGTTGCATCTTATTGATCACGTCCCATAATAAGGTTGCATTTGATGGGTTAATTCTTGGTACCAGAAATACTTAAGTATAGTCACCTGATTTTAAAAAAGTCACTTTGGAGCTAAAAAGTTAGGTAATTATTATTATTTGTAAATCAATCAAAATTATATCTTTTTTTTGTTAGATCGGCAAAAAGTATAATGTATTTTTTAGTGTGCCACAGAATTTTAGTAATTAGTTTGTGTGTGCTATGAGATGAAAAAAGTTGTAAATCCCTGGTTTAGCAATATCTCATCTGATGATCTAAGAACATGTGACCGCTCTTCAGGGAGAAATACCCAAGGCACCTTTTTATTTTTAAATAATGTTAGACCAGTAGATGCTATAATGTATTTTTGAGGTAAGGTATAATGCTGAATTCTTAATATGATTTTTTTTGTTTCCTCTTCTTATTTTTTTCTGTCATCTCAAACTTATTTTGTGATGGTGCCCTTTTAAAAATCAGCTTTATTCAGTACAGACATTTGTTAAGAATTTATTGTGAAATTGACATTCTCATCATCATTTTCTTTTTTCCCTCTGCAGTAGATTAGCACCTGATATTTTATTTTCCTATGAAATCTTAAAAAAACCACCATTCTTTTGTTATAGTTGTTTTGCCAGATATAAGAGAGGCAGTGAAGTTGACTAAGTTTCATTGTATACTAGAGGTCAGGAAGCCAGTAGTGTACTTGTATCAAGTATTCTCTGGTGTTCACACAATTGGACTTTTTTTGGCTTTATATACTCCTTGCTCATTGATATGATTTGTGATATCTACCTATTTATCTTTAAACTTCAGGCAACATTTTTGGTAAGTAGGATAAACTGTTGATCTTCTACCAAAATAATTTTCTATTAGAACTTAGATGCATCTCATTAAGAATCAAGTGCTATCAATGAGTTTAACATATCAGTCAAGCCAACTTGTATGGGTTTGTTGAACTCCTGGCTTGTTATGTTCAGTCCCAAAGTAATGGACTTTGAAAAAAGTTTTGCTTAGTATGTAATAAAGTTTGGTAATTGATATAAATAAATTGGTATCTCTTCCTACCACATTCATGGGAAACCAACTTCATTCTTTTTTTTTTTTAATCCTCACCTGAGGATATTTTTCCCATTGCTTTTCAGAGAGAGTGGAATGGGGGAGGGGGGAGATAAACATTAATGTGAGAGAGACACATTGATTGGCTGCCTCCTGCATGTACCCCTACTGGGACTGGGGATCAAGCGTGCAACCAAGGTATGTGCCCTTGACTGGAATTGAACCCGAGACCCTTCAGTCTGCAGGCCGATGCTCTAACCACTGAGCAAACTGGCTAGGACACCTGCTTCATTCTTATGGAATATCAGTAATATTTGTACCTTGCCTTCCCTTTTATGTATTAGATAGACAGTACTTACATGTTGACTATTTCCCTACTAACGCTATATATTTTTTTCCTTCTTTTACCAGTTTCTCAAACAATTAGGTCTACATCCTAAATGGCAGTTTGTTGATGTATATGGAATGGATCCTGAACTCCTTAGCATGGTACCACGACCAGTGTGTGCAGTGTTACTTCTCTTCCCTATTACAGAAAAGGTAATTGTTAAGTAATTGTTTTCAGTAAATGCAAAGTCCTTTTTTACTATTCTATTAAAAATTACCCTCTTGCCCGGCCTTGCATGGCTCAGCGGTTGAGCATCGACCTAGGATCCAGAAGATTGTGGTTCGATTCCAGGTCAGGGCACATGCCCGGGCTGAGGGCTCGATGCCCAGTTGGGGGTGTGCAGGAGGCAGCAGATCAATGACTCTCTCATCATTGATGTTTCTATCTCTCTTTCTCCCTCTCCCTCCCTCTGAAATCAATAAAGATATATTTTTTAAAAATTACACTCTTCTTTAAGAACAAACGACTCCCTTCTTGCATAAAAAGAAGAAAACTAGGCAGTGGGATACCTTAAAAATCTATTTTTATTGAAGAGATGATATTTAGATTTAGATTTTTAGATTGACAATAAAGCCCTGAGCTAGTCTTTTAAACTAGAGTAATTTTCTTCTTTTATAAAATTTGGTTAGTTTGCCTCAACTGTGGTTTGATGTGACATTTAATCACATTTTGATGTATATACTTTATTGTTTTAAAGAAATTCTTACTGATTTTGAGAGAGAAACACTGATGTGTGAGAGTGAAACACTGATTGACTGCCTCCTGCATGCCCCCTACCAGGGATCAAGCTGACAACCCAGGCATGTACCCTAACCGGAAATCAAACCAGCAACCTTTTAGTGTGCAGGACGTCACCCAACCAACTGAGCCACACCGGCCAGGGCTTGATGTGTATACTTTAGAAATGTTAAGTACTAGAATAATCTTAAATCTGTCATAGAAAATGTGTGAATAAAGAATATAGTCAAATGTTCAATATATAAAATACATTAAAAATATGTATATATAAAAAGAAATCTTTGCGCTTTTTTTAAGGAGGTAGGTGTAACTAATGCCATGGGTTACATTATTTTCAGGATAAACTTGATTTGGGTGGAAACACTAAGATTAAATACAGTTTAATTGGCAGATTTAGGGTGTGTTGGGATTATAAACTATCATTAGATTTCTATTTAAATTCAAATCACCTAATTTCAGGCCTTTCTTCCAGAATGATGTCATGTAGTTATTATGGAGCCAGATGTTTAAGTGCATTTTAATATAGCTTATAAATCCCAATCTTTCTGATTTTTACTTTTAAACTTAGAAACAATAGGATGAACTTGGTAGTTGTAAAAAATAAGGTAAGCCCTACCCAGTTTGGCTCTGTGGTTAGAGCATTGGCCCTCGCCCCAGGTTCGATTCTGGCCAAGAGCACGTACCTCGGTTGCAGGCTTGATCCCCGGTCTTGGTTGGGGTACGTGTGGAAGGCAACCAATCGATATGTCTTGTTCACATTGATGTTTCTCTTTCTCTCTCTCTCTCTCTCTCTTCCTTCCTCTCTCTGAAAACCAGTGGAAAAAATATCCCTGGATGAGAATTAAAATAATAATAATAATAAAGTAAAGTAAATGTTTGGGAAGATGTGTGAGAAATGAAATGCTGATGACTTGATATATACATACTCAAGTCATCTTGTTTTTCAGTAATAAAAGGAGCTGTGTCTCACAGAAATTAAGAATTAGGCTTTGCTCAGTTGTAGAAATTTCTGGATAATTTTCTCCTTACCAAAACTAATTAACCTCAGTTCAAGATAAAATAAAAAATACTGAAATATTTCTCTCTCATAGTTAAGGGTACTACAAAATGAATTAATTAAAGAAGGGATATTTCTTCATATTTGCTGTTTGTAATATTCACAGAAATTTAGAGTTAGAAATTTCTTGTGATTATCCAGTATTAACTGAACTCCTATTTTTAGTGATGAGGTTGTGATTACTCTGAAATTTGAGGAAGAGGTAGGACGAACACTTAAGTTTATACTCTTCTATGCCAGTGTTACTTTCTCTTTTTTTGATTACTAAAATAAGCCAATAAATAGCTATCTCAGGACCCCAATTGTAAGGAACAGGAAAAAATGGAAGAAAAAAAAATCAGCTGTTTAAAGGCTTTCTTAGTTGGTGTGACACAAATATGAGTCTATGGTCTAAATTGGAAATTTTCCAAACCATTTATTTTTATGATTTTTTTTTTTAAGAACAAGTGGGATTTGATCTCCTTTATTTAGTGGGTCATCAGTATTAAAAAGGGCATGTTATGCCCTAGCCGGTTTCGTTCAGTGGTTAGAGCATCAGCCCAAGGGCTGAAGGATCTCAGGCTCGATTCTAGTCAAGGGCACGCATCTCCATTGCAGGCTCCATCCCCGTGGTGCGTGTGGGAGGCAGCCAATCTATGTGTCTCTCTCATATCCATGTTTTTCTCTCTTTCTCCCCTTTTCACTCTCTTGCTCTAAAAAAAAGAGCATGTTATCCTTATGAATAGGATTTCATTTAGTGGATCATTATTACTGAAAAAAAAAAGCTCATTGTTTCTATTGCTAGAAAGAACACAATTCTAAAGTATTTCTATAAATTATTTATAGATACTACCCAAAGAAAAGTATCTATAAATAACTTGTAGAAATACTTACATAAGTAGAGAATATAGTGGCATCTGCCACTTTTTCATGTCTCTTACATTTGTTAGGTTCCCCATTGCAGCTCATAAGTGACATATTAAAGCTACTCAAAGGATATCTAGTGGATGTTTTAAGAGATACAGTGTTTTGGTTTTCTGTGTTCTAATTCAGGAACTGACTATGTAGGTGCAAATGGCTTAAGCATACTAATACCAAAAGAACTGTCATGTTTGTTTGTTGTTTTGTTTATTCATTTATTTTGTTTTTTAGATTCCATATATGTGAAATCATATGGTATTTGTCTTTCTCTGACTGGCTTATTTCACTTAGCATAATAACCTCTAGGTCCATCCATGCTGTCACAAATGGTAATATTTCATTCTTTTTTATGGCTAAATATTCCATTGTATATATGTATAGTGAGTGGTACCTCGGTTTTTGAACGTCTCCGTTAACAAATATTTCAGTTTACGAATGCCGTAAATCCGGAAGTCAATGCTTCGGTTTTCCAACACGTCTCGGAAGTCGAACTTGTCACATGGCTTCTGCTGAGTGCAAGATCCTGAGGCCTAGCTGTCGGCTGGTGATCCCTCGGTTTTTGAATGTTTCAGAACTTGAACGGTCTTCCGGAATGGATTACATTAGAAAATGGGGGTCCACTGTACCACAACTTTTCTATACAATCATCTATTGATGGGGACTTGAGTTGCTTCCATATCTTGGCTATTGTAAATAACACTGCAATGAACATAGGGGTGCATATATTCTTTTGAATTAGTGTTTTGGTTTTCTTCGGGTATATACCCAGAAGTGGAAACTCTGGGTCATAAGACAGTTCCATTTTTAATTTTTTGAAGACCTTCCATACTGTTAAGTAGCTACACCAGTCTGCAATTCCATCAACAATGCACAAGGGTTCCCTTTTTTCCACATCCTCACCAACACTTGTTTGTTGATTTGTTGATGGTAGACCATTCTGACAGGTGTGAGGTGATATATCATTGTGGTTTTAATTTTCATCTCTCTGAAGATTAGTTACTTTGAGCAACTTTTCATATGTCTGTTGGCCATCTGTATGTCCTCTTTGAAGAAGTGTCTATTCAGGTCCTCTGCTCATTTTTTAATTAGATTGTTTGTTTTTGAGTTGTATGAATTTTTTACAACTTTTGGATATCAGCCCCCTATTGTATGTGTCATTGGTGAATATGTTCTCCCATTCAGTAGGTTGTCTTTTCCTTTTGTTGATGGACTCCTTTGCTGTGCAAAAACTTTTTAGTTTGATGTAGACAATACAAAAATAAAACTGTACTTCTGAAAGAGGCCGTTGGCCAGATTTGGCCTGCAGGTTGTAGTTTGTTGACACTCTATTGGAATCTGAAAATTGTAAGAAAAATACAGACAAAACAATAAAATCATCTTTCTACTCTCCCCCTCCTGCTTCTCCTCACTCATTTTTAACCTCTATTATTTTTAACCTCTTTTTAAGTAACTTGTCAGAGTTGCACAGCTAATAATGGCAAAGCCAGAAAGTGAACACTGGTAGTCCTATGTAGAGCTCACACTTTTGACATTCAGCATTACACCATATTGTTTTTACAACCAGTTATTAGAGACAATGATTGTTATGAGTATTGTTTGGTTATATAGTGTGAATTTTGTTATTATAGTATTATTTAACAGTATAGAAATGTAAAAATAGAAAGTAAAAATCCTTTAGTAATCTCTGATCCCAGAGATAAACTGTTGTTTTGTTTTTTTTTAAATATGTCTTTATTGATTTCTGAGAGAGGAAGGGAGAGGGAGAGGGATAGAAACATCAGTGATGGAGAGCCATTGATCGGCTGCTTCTTGCGTGTCCCCTACTGGGGATTGAGCCTGAATCCAGGGCATGTGCCCTGACTGGGAATCGAACCACCATCTCCTGGATCCTAGGTTGTTGCTCAACTGTTGAGCCACGCCGGCTGGGCAACTCTGTTAAGTTTTTGTATATCCTTTCAGATTTTTCAATGCATATTAAATATTTTAATATTATTTTCATATTTCTACTACTGACTTTTTCTTTAATAGTATGAAGTATTCAGAACAGAAGAGGAGGAAAAAATAAAATCTCAGGGACAAGATGTTACATCATCAGTATATTTCATGAAGCAAACAATCAGCAATGCCTGTGGAACTATTGGACTGATCCATGCTATTGCCAACAATAAAGACAAGATGCATTTTGGTAAATAATTTTTCATTAGTGCTGTTTTCACCTCTTAAGGTACAAATTAACTTATTGAGCACTAGGTGGTGCTCTCGTTCTTTCAGAGAATTGCATAGAGTATTTTCCTTCTTTCATTTATAATGGGATGTATATACTGTTAGAAGAACTATTAATCCTCATTCTTTTATATTGTTGATAAATGGAGTTTTAAGAAACAAACAACTTAAGCCCTGTCATTTATCCCAATATTCTTATATTCTTAATTTACCAGTAAAAGGGTTTTACCTGAAAAATAGGCAGCATGCTTCTAGTATTTTCATATACCAGTCTCTTTGAGATATCAAGCCTTTTCAGTTTTATCTTCTTTAATATTCCCAGAATCTGGATCAACCTTGAAAAAATTCCTGGAGGAGTCTGTGTCAATGAGCCCTGAAGAACGAGCCAGATACCTGGAGAACTATGACGTCGGTACCTTCTATCTGTCTTGGTTTCATATGTGGGCAAAGTTTTGTGGGATTCTAGATTCGGTTTAGGGGTTTGTTTTGAAACTGTAGTTTTAAACAGTTATGGATTTGCCATATCTATTAAAAAGGCATTTTGTATGTTTCAGCTAACAGTACTGAAATATCTGTAAATGTTGATAACTTACCACTTTTCTATGTCCAGAGCTGAATGAGAGAAAAAAAGCAGTTTGATTTAAAAATTTATAACGTATTTTATGATAAACTATTTCTTACCATTCCCTCCCTATAATAAATATATGCCAGGTAATACCCTGTGTATCTTTTGCGGGGAATTTGGAATAAAGTTGAAGACCAATGGAAAACACAAAGGTTTAAACGTAGATGTTAGACTATACTCTAGCTCTTTTATCAACATAATATTTTTGCATGTGTGAAGACAGAGGCCACATAATCTAGTTTTAAATGATTGTACTATTTCATAGAATTTTCATAGAATGGTATTTAAATTTTATTATTTTTGAAATCTATTTTTAAAGGCATTTCACCTTTTTTAAAATTTATTTTTCAATTATACTTGACGTAGAATATTATATTAAGCTTTTTATCTTTTAGTAACATTAAGTAAATTGTAAGTTCTTTGAAATTAGAAGCAGTGTAGTGTGTGTATACTCAACTAGAACGATGCTTTATGCAGAGTTTGTTCCTAGTAAAGTCATTGATTTGATTATGTTGTTTTAATACTTTATTTTAAATTGTTTTTTCTTTAAAAAAAACCTGCAGAGCTCATAAAACATCTTTATTTTACATAAAAGTAAGATAACACAGAAGTCATCAGTAATCTCACCAATGAGAGGTGCCCACCATTAATATTTTTTGTAGGGAGTATATGTATATACACAATGTTTTAAAACGAATATTTGATCACAGTGTAATATTGTTTTATAACTTGCTTTTTTCACTTAACTTATCACAAACGTAATACATACCAGTAAGTATATATTTGACATCATCATTTAGTGGCTGCATAGCTTTCCATTGTGTAGTAGTTTATTTAACCAATAAATTATTGTCATAAATTTAATATTTTTTCCTCTTTTTCACTGTTTAAAAAAGCACAACAAGGTATATCATTGTAGCTAAATCTTTGCAAATATCTGTAATTATATATACTTATATACAATTATATGTAAATATATAAACTTCTAGAAGAGAAATTGCTGGATCAAACAGTTTGCATGTTTTTAAGGCTTTGATAATTATTGCCAGTTGTCTTGCATTGAGGTTATACTTTCACCTGTAATTTACTACTTTGCTTATTTCTCTTCATCTTTGCTAATAGTAGGTATTATAAGAGCATTTTTTTAAGTTCAGGAAACTAAACTCTCTAGCTTCTGATAAATGCATGCTTTTGCTCCACATTTCTAAACTGCTGACTGAAGCTGCATGATTAAGCATAACTACAGCCAGAGCTGCAGAGGAGCATGCAACGTGGAGAAACATGGGCTAAGCTTCGGTCTCTATCATGAGATGCTTACTTTATTCTAGTCTCAGTTGAATAAAGTGTTAAATGTTAGTTCTGCCCAGCCAATGTGGCTCATTTGACTGAGCGTGGTCCCATGTACGAAAAGGTCACCTGGTTGGATCCTCCATCAGGGCACATGCCCAGGTTGTGGCCTCAATCCCCAATAGGGGGCGTGCAGGAGGCAGTTGATTGACTGATGTTTCTATCTCCCTCTCCTTTCCTCTCTTAAAAACACACACACGTTGGTTCTAACAAGTTAAATGAGTCCCACTTACACGTGGAAATTACAGTTAATTCAATAGTCAGTATCCAAAGTCTTCAGAGATTTGTGGGTTGAAAACTACAGCAATTCATTTAGTTACTCAGAATTCATCCTTAAATATTTCAAATTAAACTTTTCCTATATTTCCTCCAATTTGTTGTTTTGTCAGTGTTTTAGATGTTAAAATTTAGTATTGTTGTTTTCATGTAAAAAGTAAGATATAGTCATTTTTTTCCTATTAATACCTTGTATTCCTATTACAGGCTATTCGAGTTACTCATGAGACCAGTGCCCATGAAGGTCAGACTGAGGTATTCACATTTTTCAAAACTTTTCTTGCTATGTGTAAATTTAACTACAATGTTATTATATAACATATAGTTTTAGAAAATTACTTAGACTTCTTTTTTTCCTTTGAAAGGATTTGCTTATGTAAAAAGTATCATGAAGTAGCACAGAACATGTTTTGACAAATTGTTAATAGGCATGTTGGTATCGACCATCTCAATTTGTCTAATTATTTAGATAGATTGCAGATTGTGTGTTGTTTGCTTTGGGTAACGGATGGACTGTGACTTCCCTATCACAGTGATTTTCAACCCTTTTCATCTCATGGCACATATAAACTAATTACTAAAATTGTGTATAATTTAGTAATATATTGGTCTATTTTATTATTATATTTTTATATTATTATTATTATATTAATATATTATTATTATATTTTTTGTTGATCTGACAAAAAAAAAAGCAGGTATAATTTTAATTCATTTACACCAGACAGCTATCGTGTTGACTGTTGTCATTTTTTTATTTGATAGTCTAAGGGAAAAGAGATCGATACCCCTACAAAATGGGTATTGCATGTTTTAAAAATTCTTGTGGCACACCACTGTGCTGCTGCACACTATTTGAAAATCGCTGCCCCATCAGATTCCTTTGACTTGCAAGTATTTTGAGAAAAATAGTAGTACAGATAGATAACCTGTATGATTTTTAGGAGTCTGTCACACCCAGCTTCTAGCAAAAAGCTGCATCATTCTCTTTGCTCAGTAAATCTGTTCTGGGGCAATGTGATGATCTTCACCATCTTTACTCTGTTGGCTAGTTCTTCAGCTGGGTTGCCTCGCCTATCCTTTTCTCACACCTTTATTTTTATTCTATTGGTTTTCTTCCTTCCTTCCATCTCTTCTTTTTCTTTCCTCCAAACCTCACTTTCCCACTTTTGGGAAGGTATTTCGATCAAAGTGAATAGGATTTAATTAGTTGTTTGGTGTATTTATAACACGCTTAAGTGTTAACACTAGAAAATTATAGATATTTTTCTTTTTTATTCCATGTGTGACTCGAAACCATACTTTTTAATGTACAAAGCTGACATTGCCTTTATGGGTGTTTTTTTTTGTTTTTGTTTTTTAAATATATCTTTATTGATTTCAGAGAGAAGAAAGGAGAGGGAGAGAGAGAGAGGTAGAAACATCAATGATGAGAAAGTCATTGATAGAGCCTGCAACCCGGGCATGTGCCCTGACCGGGAATCGAACCCCTATCGCCTGGATCCTAGGTCTACGCTCAACTGCTGAGCCACGCCCGACCAGGCACCTTTATGTTTTAACAGTACTTTTTAAATACCTGGCTTTAAAATAGTGAACTTAAATATTCTCACTATCTTCAAAAATTTTTTTAAGAAGAAAATTATTTGATACTATGGTATGACAACAGTTTTTATAGATCAAAGTGGGTAACTGTGAATGTTTGTAAGAAAACCATTTAGGAATTTAAACATTAATTCTTCCTAATCATATTATACCTTCTTGGTTACTTCTGCTTTCAGAAATCTGGACTTTTGGTGTTTTTGACTTTACACACACACACACACACACACCAACCCACCC